AATGCCTCAGAGGTACAGACTTGTCAATTGGCTCAATAGGAGTTTCCTCCTTAAGTTCAGTGCTAGGGTTTGAAGTTCTTTCACCACTCGACTCTTGAATTTCTTCAAGGTCAACTTGCCTCCCACTATTTCCTTGGCTTGTGAACTCTATCTCTCGAAAGACAACCCTCCTTGCTACAAAGAACACATTTTCACTAGGTCTGTAGAAGAGGTAACCAAAGGATTGTTGTCGGTAGCTGATGAAAATAAACCTCTCGCTTCAAGGTCCGAGCTTATCATGAGTCTCGTGTCTCTCAAAATCCTCGCAACCCTAAATATTGATGTGGTCTAGTTTGGGTACTTTACCAATCCACATCTCATGAGGAGTTTTGGCAAGTTTCTTTGTAGGGACCAGATTAAGGATATGGGCGGCAGTCTCTAAGGAATACCCCCAAAATGATATTGGTAGCGAAGCTCGACTCATCATTGAACGAACCATATCCAACAAGGTTCGATTATGCCTATTAGCCACAGCATTCAAATGCGGTGTCCTTGGAGGTGTCAATTGTGAGACAATCCCACATTCCCTAAGATAGTCGAGGAACTCTGAACTAAGATACAAACCACCTCGATCGGATCGAAGCATCTTAATGTTCCTGCCCAATTGATTCTCGACTTCCTGTTTTAACTCTTTAGACATTTCAAAAGTCTCTGACTTATGCTTGATTAAGTAGACATTTCCATATCTACTATAATAATCAGTAAAAGTCAAATAATAATGATTATCATCCATGGTAGCATGTTTGAAGGGTCCACACACATTCGTGTGTACGAGATCCAACAAACCTTCACCCCTCTCACAAGAACCTGTGAAGGGTGACTTTGTCATTTTTCCAAGTAAGCATGATTCGCAACTATCAGCTGATTTTAGGTTAAATGACTCCAAGACTCCATCCTTTTGGAGTTGGCCTATGCGTTTCTTGCTTATATGTCCAAGAAGACAATGCCATAATGACGCTTAATCCAAGTTATTATCATTAACAGAATCAATACAAAATACATTATTTCCTATGTTATCAACCACAGATACAGTTTCATAGACACCATCACAAGGTAATGCTTTAAAGTAAAGAACATTATTAAAGAAAGCATTAATCGAACCAACTTCATTATCTAATGAAAAGGTAAAACCTTGTTTATACAATGCATGAAAGGAAATAATATTTCTTGCCATTTCTGGAGAATAACAACATTTATTCAAATCTATATTAAACCCACTACTTAGCGATAAAGTATAAACTCCAATCTTGGTGACAAGTAAAACTTTCCTATTCCCCATGATTAAGTTTATTCTTCCATGCTCCACATTCTCACTTCTTCTTAGTCTCTGCATGGTTGGGTTTAACTTTCCCATCCTTCACATCTTGCTGGTTCTTTGGGCAGTTCCGCTTCTAATGAGACTTTTCATGACAATAGAATCATTCAACCTCTTTTGGGTCAGAAGAAGGAGTGACGAAACCTTTCTTGGTTCCACTTAAAGAAGATCCATCAAGGGTCCTAGCCTTGGTACCCTTTGAAGAGCTCTTTCTCTTCTTCCCTCTACCTTTCCCGATTGCCAAGACATGGGCGGAGTTTGGAGTAGGAGTGTTAACAACCGACTTACCTTTAAGACCTGTTTCTGCGGTCTTGAGGAGTCCCTGAAGTTTGCTGAGTGTGACCTCTTCCTTATTCATGTGATATGTCATGCGGAATTGATCATAACATGATGGTAAGGAGTGCAAAATGATATCTATTGCAAGCTCCTCAGGGAAGTTCACATTAAGCTTCAACAACCGATCCACATACCTTTGCATATTCTGCATGTGGCTCATGACGGATTCTCCGTCCTTCAACATGGTTGTTATGATGGAGCAGATGATTTCATACCTCTCTTGTCATTCACTTTGATGTTATCTTTCCATCATATCTTGGTGCATTTCAAAAGGGTATAAGTCCTCATAGGACTTTTGGAGTTCTGTTGTCATGGTGGCCAACATGATGCACGCCGCTTTGGTAGAATCCCTTTCAAGTGCCCAGAAGTCAGCGATCTCCTGGGAATTGCAGTAGTCTCATCAATCTCCTTAAGCTCCTTATCAAGGACATATTCTTTGTCCTCATAGTGGGTAATCATCCTGATGTTTCTGATCCATTCATTGAAGTTGGATCCATCAAAAGTGACTTTCCCACACAAGCTCATAAGGGTAATGTAGCCATTAGGATTAGAGCCAGAAGTAGCATTGTTTGAAGACATCTAAAAGAAAAGAACAAGATTAGTTTAGATATTAAGAGACTTCTTATTAAAACACCCCAATGTAATATTAAGGCTAGGATCCAATCACAATATATTATAACCTAGAAGAGGTATGTCGTAATCTAAGCTATAACATATTTGAAAGGTAGGTGAATGACGATTCACCAATTTCAACCATGAAAAACGAAATATTGATATTAGGTTTTTAATTGGTTCTTAGAAATTCCTAGATTCTTTTGAGATTCAATGAACTTTTCAAAGACATGTTTCAATCTCGAGTGTGCCCTCCAAGTTTTATGACTGGGATACCGAGGATCACAAAACGAGGTGTGAAGTAACCATCCGAATCACTTGATACCCTTAAAGTTTATCACTCAATCGATGTGCCGGTAAACCACACACGCTCCACCGATACTATGATAAACCTTAAGTCACCCTTTTTCTACCTTGTTAAGTCCAAGTTAGTGTGCTGGTTAACCACACACGTTCCACCAATGACTTAAACAAAGTGTAAAGTGTAATTTCATGGATTAACACCTTATTCACATTTTTCCTAAAGTAACTAAGATTGGGAATTTAGTAAAAGCATTTAGTTACTTTATAATATTCATCATACTTTTAATGAGAATTTATAAGTCCTTGTCCTACCCGTTCGGCTAACGACCCTCCACTAATCAATGAAGCGGTGGGTGAGAGTGGACACCCATTAAGTTGCCATTTTATAGGCAACAACCCTATACCCCCTTATAGACCGGCTTCGTGAATGAGGCGTAGTAGCGGTAAGAAAACTTGATCTTATATATATATACATCTATATATATATATATATATATATATATATAATATATATATATATATATATATATATATATATATATATATATATATATGTATATATTATTAACTTATAATATTATAAAGTATAAGGGTTGAATTTTAGCTTTTAAAATTCTAAGGGTTCGAACTAAAGTTTTAATCAAGACTTTACTTGTTCCAAAACTTGAGGGCAAGTTTTTTAAACTCTCAAAACTTTTCATTTCTTATAATGTATGAATTAATTGAGTAATAAAAATGAAGACTCTTAATTTTTTATAACTCTTTTGTTCTTTTAATGGCTTTAATAAAAGTGTGACTTTTGGTTTTCCATAAGTTGAGGACAAGTTATGGACTGCATTAAAACAGATTATGATCATAAATTAAACTACCATGAAGGTTACAAGCAATTCCTATGATCATTTAATCTTCATAAGTTCAAGAACATGAATATGAACACTTTCAAGAATCAAAAATTAAACTTAAAACTTGTAATTTTGATAATTGCCATTGTAAATGGATTAGCATAAACATTATACCATCTAAAAGAAGTTTTTAAAACACTAAAACAGTTTAGGGTAACGTTTCTAGTCTATTTCCAGCAACAAATGTCAAAATTCTGAAAACTGCAGACTCTACTCGTCGAGTGCAAGAACATACTCGACGAGTAGCTTGCATTTGTTCATGGAATCGTCGAGTCCCCCCATGGACTCGGCGAGTTCAAACGAGCAGAAAATAGAAAATTGACTTTTTCAAGCAGTTTGCACAAAAAATCTACAAACAAACCTAGGGTCTAATACCACTGATGGGTTTTGAGCATTCTAACACTTCCTAAGTGTACATGCAACCCTAATAGCCTTGGATCTATGTTTGTCTATTTATCATGCAAAGTTGAATTCCAAGGTTATATTCCTATCTAGCATGCATGGGGAACATTTTTAACTTGAATGAAAGATAGAATAACTTACCTTGTTGTTGATTATGATCCTTGAAACCTTGTGAGCCTAGCACCCCAAGTGTGATGCCTAAAATGCTTCACACAACACCAAATGGAAAGGAGTAAACTTTGAGAGAATCTTACACGTGCAAAATCGGCTCTAGCCCTCTTGTTTCTTAGTGTGTAGCCGATTTTGGGTGAGGAGATGGTCTTTATATAGTGTGACACATCTAGGGTTGCGACATGTAAACCCTAATGTGTCATGGCTCTTCATTTCCATGACCCATGGGTTTGTAACTCCCATGGAGCATCCTATGGGTTTAACCCAACTTGATAATCCACGGAGCCTCTTTGCCCACAATACAAGTTATGGATGATTTACATAATCAACCCATATATTTAATTAGTTATCTTTTGATCACTTAATTAATTCTAAATTAATTCTTGATCAAACCAATTAAATAATACTATTAATATATATTAGAACTTATAATATATTAATAAACCACAAGTGTTATTTCTCTCATTTTGTCTATCCAATTGCATGGTGCCATGCAACCCA